TCACCAAATCCTCCGTGTGCGGGCCGAGCCGAGGCGTGCCATGTGACCCAGGTGGAATGGCGCCGGTGCAAAGGGATCGCCCCCCCGTGAAGGGCCCGTGAAGGTGTTGTTCTTCTTGAATTGAAATAAGGAAGGAACACAAGAAGAACTGGTTCATCCATTTTGGTGGACACCTTCGGAAGTGTGGTCTATGGGGTGGTGTATAATAGGAAAAAGAGTGCCACCCAACAAAGAAGAAGCCAAACTATACACAGCATCTGTTGAGGCTCGTTCTCCATCGTTTCTCTCTGCTTGGGGACGGAGCTACAGCTTTTTCGGGCTCTGGAACAGCGGCGTCCACGGTCCACGTCTGGTGGCTGATCACGATCACCTCAACGTCGTCTTCTCGAATGTGTGCCTTCTGCAGGAAACCACCCTTGAAGCAACACGTCAATGAGGGACTTCATACACAAGATGACAAGTGCCGTATGTTGACACAGCCAGACAAAACTCTCAGAACTGGGCTCTTGAATTGCAACAGCTATTCAGCAAGCACCCAAACATGTGCAAGGCCGCGTCCACGACACAACCAAAGTCCCGACCCCAAAAAGAAAATCAATGGCAACGCTGCAAAGCTCTGACACCCCTGATCAAGAATTATTCAACACTGGTATTCAGCGTCCAGTGCTCTGTTCTTGTTGTATCGTTACTGCATTTGCACCTAAGTTTGCCACCCTCCGCAACCAAAGAGAAGCAAACTGCAACCACTTTGCAAAAAAATAAACACTGAAGTCACAAGCTTCAGGCGTGCCTCAGGACACGGATGACAACAATATTTGTCACCAATGCCAATGCAAGCTAATTAGAGATATGATCCACCAACTATAAGAAGCATAGAGTGTAAAGAAACTGCGAACAGGGAGCAGAAGGCATGGCAAAGCTCTGACACCCCTGATCAAGAATTATTCAACATTGGTATTCAGCGTCCAGTGCTCTGTTCTTGTTTTATCGTCATTGCAATTGCACCTAAGTTTGCCACCCTCCGCAACCAAACAGAAGCAA